ACTGTGCTTTCTGCTATGCTTAGTGTCACACTGGAGTGAGCAGTTGTGCACACATAAGATCACAAGCTGCCTCTGGTCCTCTTCCCCCAACTTGGTCTGGCACAGCCCCAGGCCTGCGGTGACTTCTCAGTGATTTTCTGTGGTGTGAATGCTGGCTTGTTTACCGGGTCTTGCCAGCACCCACCTTTTAACTTGACAGATTCTATTTAGAATCCCGGGGCTGGGGATTTAGTTCAGTGGTTCCGCTGACTGCCTTGAAAGCGCAAGTTCCTGAATTTGATCCCCAGCACCGAAAAGAATTCTGGAAGTCGCATTTTCTCTGCGTGTGGGGGTGAGTGAAGGAGACTCTGCCTTTGGAGTGGATAACATATGCCCAGCTTTCAGTGCCCGGCCCTTGCCCCTTCACCCTCCGCTCCTCCCTCCAGGCCCTGTTGCTGCACCCTTCTCCACACACTGACCGGCCAGCCCCTCCCCACTCCCTGTCTTGTGCACGACAGACATCCGCAGGCAGGGATCGCCTTGGGTACCCTCCCCGCAGGATGCACAGTAGTTGAGAACCTGCGCGGCTCTCTCTTCTGCATGCCCGCTGAGGCCTCTAGCTGAACCTGAGTCAAGTCCAAGTTGCTGTGCCCCCCGAAGCGCCTCTTGGGCCTTGGCTGCTCAGGTCTTCCGAGCAAGGTCCTTTTGGCATTCAGGAAACTGGCTCTTGTGCTTTGCTGTGGAATCAAGACTCCATCCCATGGCTCCTCGGCCTCACTGCCATCTGCTGGGTTCCTAGAGTTTGGATTTTCCCCAGCCAACACACGAGTTTCTGTGTTCTGGATGCCACAGCTCTGTCACCATCATCACCACAACCCTCCCTTCTAGCAGAGCTCAGTTGGGTGAAAGAGGAGCAGGATGGGGGTTAGGGGGTCCTGACATCCTTGGGCCAAGATGCTTATGCAGGCCAATCGTCTCCGCTGAGAGAGACTTCCCACCGTGGTGGGTGATGTACTCCCATCCTGTTGGGAGGCAGGCAGGGTAGTCGAGGCTGCTTCATCTACCCGGCCCTGTTGCAGTAGACCAGGAGCCTCAGCCACCATTCTGTGTCATTATTCGAAGGCTAAGCTAAGCAGATCCCATCTCTTCAGACATGCTGGGTTGAGATCATGGGCAGGGTGAGCAGGGACAGGAATTCCCAGTTTGAGGAGTCCTCAGGTGTGCTCCTCTGCTCTCAGCCCCAGCAGCTGGGTGCACCTGGCACGGCCTAGCCCCTGCCCCTCTCTCCCCCTTGCTCCTAGCTCTTTCTCTCCTGTTCTCTCCTCCTGGCTTAGGTCTCTTCAGCTCCAGGGGCCTTGGCCACAGCTTCTGTCCTGCTCTCTGCATGGCTGCCTCCTTCTTGCTTGCCTGGCTCACCTGCCAGCCCAGGGAAGGCCCTTTGCTCTTTATCTGGGAGCCCAGGTTTTTGCTGTCATGGCTCTTGTCATTCTTGATAGTTCTACTCATATGTGGCTTGATGTTGAGTGGCTCTGACCTGGGGGGAGACCAGCATCCTTGGGCCATTCAGGTCTTTGTTATGCATTTAAGTGAGCTGAACCAATAGAACTCTGGAGCTAGAGCCACCTGTGTCCACCGGGCAGTGCAGGGTTCCCAGTGGGGACGTAGTGCCCAGCTTGGGACAGCTTGGTTCAATGTGAGGACTTTACCCTCACCTCTCCAGCACTTGACACAGGGATTCTAGGTCCAACATGACTGTCCAGGAGCTCCTGGACTGTCCCTGTCTTACCTGGGAATCCTGCCTGGGGGGTGTGATCCTAGGGATTCCTGATATTACTGTAAGCCTTTTATAGCAAAGACCAGATGAAGAGATATTTTAGACATGAGGCTGGTGCCAAGGGCATGCCCATGTTTTGTGGCCCTTGTCCCCACCTGTTCTGCTAGCTGGTACCCCTGCCAGACCTCAGCTACAGGTCACCTCCACCTAAGCGTTCTCTCTGGTGTGGAGGAGAATTGCAAGGGCCTTTGTCCCTGGGACCTCAGAGAAACAGATGCTGAGAGCCCCAGTGACACAGGTGCCATCTCTTTCCACGGACCCTCAACAAAGCACTGCACTCCCTCGTGGTCTTTTCGCATCTTGAGGGATGGGAGGACAGTCACCAAGCCTGAGCCAGCTTGGAAGTCCCTGTCCAGGTCTCCGATGGGAACCTACAGTCCTGTCTCCAGCATCCAGGCTGGGAAGGGATGCAGTGGAGACCAGTCCAAGGCTTCAGAGCAGTGCTCTTGGGAAGAGGCAGGGTCATGGCCTCAGGGAGGGCCCTTCCCTGGCCAGCCATGCCCTCTGCCGCTCCCCTCTGCACACACCATCCCAGAGACTGCTGCACACAGGGGCCTGCACTGGACCACTCAGGACCACTCAGGACCCTTGGCTCAGCAGAACTCCTGCACACCATGAGCCGCATGCATCTCACCTTGGTCCTGGAGGAAAAGCTCACCTCCCTTTCTCTTGGTTTCAGGAACCATGCCATTTAGGGGGTCCTTGGTGGCCATCTCTGCCTGGAACAGGGTGGGGATGCTTCTCCTGGCTTGGCAGGACCAGCCTTGCCTGGCCCGTGGAGCCTGGAACAGACTGGGTCCTAGTGTCTCTTCCACCCCATCCGGAGCCCCACAGGGCACACAATAGGTAGGAGATCTCCCCAGACCCAGCAGTGCTGGCGGCCACTGCGAGCCAACAAAGTGGGCCCAACTGACACCTTCCCAATGACAATGCTGAGCGCTAACACTCACTTACTGTATGCCACTCGCCGAAGCGCTTCACATGTTCTAACACCCTTAATCCTCACAATAATCTTATGAGGTGGACATTATTGTGCCATTTTACAGACGGAAACTGAGGCATGGAGAGGTTGTATAGCTTGTCCAATGTCAAAGTGCTGGAGCCCAGTTCACTGAGCTGTGACACCTGCCTCAGTGCTGCCGGCTGTCACCTTTAAGGACTGTGGATTGTGATGGGATGGCACCTGGAAGCCAAGGTGCTGCCTGTTCTGTTCTAGGGAAAATCCATTGGGTGCCACTGAAGTCCAGAAGGCTTTAGGAGCAGCTTTGGGCCACAGCCCAAGGCTCAGGACAGTGGGTGACTTGGATCCCGTGATGTGAAGGGAACAGGCCACATCCACTTCTCAGGAGAGGATTCGGGGCCACCCCATCCCCTCACTGTGCAGATATCTGTGAGTCCTCCATAGCGGGGTCTGCGATGCCATATCGTGGGGGTCCTGGGTAAAGCTTCATGAGACAGGCTTCTTGGGAGATTTCAGGACTCTAGGGACTCTCTGAGGAGGGTGGAGGGAGGCTCTCCCAAACCAGTGGGACCACAGAATCCACTTTTAGGAGAAAGCTGGCCACTTGGGAAGGTATCTGGACCAGGACACAGAAGTAGTGAGTGGAGGTCCAGGTCCTTCTGCAGTCCAGCTGGGATTGTCTCAGCAAGCCAAAGCCTTCCCCAAGCCTCAGTTTCCCATGTAATGACTCTCCTAACGCCAGCCTAGCTTCTCAAGGGGACCGTGAGGAGGGCCAAGGAAAGCTCTGAACCAGAGTGCTTTGCACAAGGCATGAGGTACCATGGGAGGAAGTGAGGGTTTGACCACACCTTTCTAGAAGAAGCCATAGTGGCTGAGCTAATTGCCAGAGTGAGTCTCCTGGGTTCCTTCTTGTGCTTTGTGAACAACATCCACCACAAGAGAGAAGAGAACCATGAACAAATTTGGTCTCTGTGTATTATCTCTGAGAAGACCTGATGATCCACCCATGACACCACTGATGATCTCCTTGCAAACCTCCCTCCCTGAGCTTATTCAGACGTGGTTTATTCCATAGGCATTGAACCAATCACCAAGTGCCAGCCCTACTCACGATGGCCTTTGGAAGGCTCTAGGGACACTTGAGAAGGCAGAAGCAATCAATCCCGGGGATTTGGATGACACCCTATAAATGTACAATTTGGACAACATTCAGCAAGGGCCAGTTAAAGCTCACCCTAGCCCTCTGGAGTCATTAGAGATGCCTGAGCTGTGGCCAGAGAGGGATCAGATCCAGCCAAGAGACATCAGTATTGTGGCATGGAATTGAAACACAAAAAATGTACAGCCCAGACCAGGAGGATGCTGACATGCAGGGGAGATCCAGAGCCCTTCCGAATGACTCAAAGGAGGAATGAGATTTGAGCCAGGACACACAGTGACACTAAGATTTCAGAACATCAGCACACAGGCAAGAGTCTTCTCCAAACCTCCCTCTAGCCTTCCTGGTCCCTCATAAGCCTAGAAGGAAAGGTTCTTCAGGTTCAGTGGCCGCTGGAGTGAGTGGCCAGTGCAATGAACCACGGGTGTACTAACTGATTTAATTTAGGCCTTCATTGTCATCATCATCACCGCTCTTGTCACCACCGCCATCAACCCAGTCACCATAACCACCACCATTGCCATTTCCCCGCCTCCACTGCCATCACTGCTATTCCCTCTACCATGATACTACAGCCAACACCACCACCTCCAGCCCTTCTGCCACGACTGTCTTCACCCCTTCCTCCATCATCATTGCCATCACAACCACCACCACTACCATAACCACCACCCCCAGCGTCTTAACTACCACCCTCTCCTCTGTCATCACCACCACTGCATAACCGCCGTCACGATCACAACTGTCACCACAGCCATCACCATCGCCACTGACGTCACCATTACCACACCCCCTTTGTCACACTTCCCATTTGCCTTTGAGCACACAGAGGCCTCTCTTCTGTTAAATGTCTGTACTCTCAAAGATTCATCTTCAGTTCTGTCTGCTCCTAGTCAAAGAGACCCATCAAAGCTGGATCATACTAGGCTGACTGTACATTCTGGTCTGTCCAGAGCAGGCCTGCTGTCCTCGCTCCATTATCCTTCGCTCCTCCCTCAACTCTGCCCTGGTTTACATACTAAACTGTGTAGTCACCTGCTGCCCTTTCTTTGTCTCCCCGCTTCCAGGAAACCCCTGCGAAAAGACGAAAATGGCACCAGCGTTGCTGAGTATCCCATGAGCTCCTCACAGAGCAACAAGGGGGTGGATGTGAGCAACGCGATGGTGTGAGTCTGCAGGCCTTGGACCCGCTGGCCAGAGGGACACCTTGGTGGCACGAGTGGACATGGGAAGCTGACCCTGGGCTTGTCCAGGACTTCATTGCCTTGCAGGCCTCAAGCCTCCTGAAGAAGAAACCATCCTCTTCCCAGGCCAGCCCCAGATGGCCCATAGGCAGGGGCAGAGCAGACACTGGGTCCCCTGCATGCAGCGCCTGGGGCAGCGTCACCGCCCAGGGGTCTCCACATCCTCCTCCTTGTCTTGTGTTTGGTCCACTGACTGTCCCCCAACTGCTGTCTACAGCACATGCTCTGATGAAGGCAGAAGGTCTGCCTGCCTGTGGGGGAAGTGAGGCACCCTCTTTTAGCTAAAGAAGGGTAAAGGGGCCACTCCCAGCCTGAAATCCTCTCCTCCTCCAGGAAGCAGCCTGCTTCTCTGTGGACGTCCCAACAGAAGCCATCGGCACAGCCATGAGACAGACGTCCCCTTTCAAAGGTGCTTCCCACATATCTGTCCATCACCCCATGCGTAACTTTCCTCAGTCTTCAGGGCCTGTGTCTGCCCTCCTGTTTCCACCCACGCCCTGGCTGTGGCTCCTGCCTGCCTGCCATGGTGGGTGGTGAGCCCAGCCTGAGAACCCCTGTGAGCAGGGGGCTCTTTACATGCGAGGTAATGTGTCAGAAACCTAGACTAGGGGCATCCAGAAAGGGGCAGAGGCCCCTGCACACACTGGGATGCAGGAACCCCACGTCTGTGTGAGCCAGGCCCTCCCCCATTGAGCAGAAGTCATCACTTGTGCCAAACCCACTGGAGTACTCTGAGCTAGGCCAATGCTGGCCTAGCGTCACATCTCCCTGACTGTCCCCTGAGACCTGACAGTGGTATCTGGACCCTCTTTCTGAGAGCTCCGAGAAAGCAGGGTTTTCTTCTTGTGTCCTGTGGTCCAGTGCTCTAGATGTGCCAAAGCCTCCTGAGTGTGGAAGAGGGAGGCAAGGGGCAGGAGCCTCCCCACTTGGTCACCTCTGCCCTGCCCACCAGTTTTCCAGAGGACCACCTCCCAGTGGGATACATCCTAGGCTCACAGAGGCAGTGACCTTGTGAGTTTACCTCCCTTAGAAAATTAGAACACTCTTGACCCTGTGGTTTCCTCACCACCCTCACATACCTGCTCAGAAGGAACCAGAAACATTTAATGGTTACAGCCTGTGGCCTTTAGGAATTTAGCTGGCTGGACCTTGTTTGCCTCCTACACCACTGTTGTACTTCTCTGACAGCTATTTGGGTTGCAGTGAGACCCTCAAATCCAGGTAAGACTGATAGACATGAAAGCCAGTTCCTACTTGGCCAAAATGTCCACGGTCCCACAGTGCTCTGTGCCTGGAGCTGTCTGTCACTGCCCTTCCCCTGGCCAGTGTGTGCACACTCAGGACAGGCCCAGATATGCGCCCTCCCCCAGAGGGTTTTGTCTTCCTTTCCCTTTTCCTCCTTCAACTTGAGGACTTGTTTCAATTTCACTTTCCTGGCACACTTTGGTATCACCATAGTGCTGCCAACAGCCCCCACCCAGCTGAGCACTTGGCAGCACTTAGGACGCAGTCAGGTGACAAGTGGGCCAGAGGAGAATGGTTGGGGACAAGACAGAAGGGAGAAGCCTGGAAGACCCGACCCCAGGACACTGTGCCCTGCTGACCACAGCCTCCTGATGCCTGCTGAGCCCCCTCCCCGAGCACAAACCTGGGTAGGTGAGCAGGAGCCCAGTCCAAAACACACAGCACCTTGTGCTTCACAGGGGGAAAGCTAGTGCCCCAGGCTGGTCTAGAGTGACCAGAGGGTGCCTTCGGCTGGAGGCTGCTGGCTGGGGGGGCCTGGTGGGCTAGAGCAGCCCAGAAAGGCTGGGCAGGGCTGAATATCCACACACCCACCAGCTTCCACTATCCTTGACTGTGGCTTAAACATGGAAAGCCCAGATTTCACAGTTAGGCTTCAGGAACCTGGCTGAGTTGCCCATCACGCTGCCCCCAGGACACCCAGGGCTCCAGTTCGCATGTAAATTCTCCTTCATCCAGCTTGTAAAGTCCCTTCTCAGCCAGCTAGAGAAAACCAAGAGAAGAGTCACATTTAAAAAAAAAAAAGGTTCACTTGAGAACAAAGCCCCCAAAGTCAGGGCTGGTGTTCAGAGGACACATCTCATGGCACAGCGAGGGAGGCCTCCAGGCCAGCTCAGGAAACTGACGTGCGCATTAGACTGCTGCAGCCTAGTAAGTGAGCTCAGAGCTTTGGTTTAAAGTAAATCGGCAGCCCCTGGACCCACACCCCTTCTCAGATTGGCCTGAGCTCGGAGGTGGAAAATGAGATACACATTCCCGCTCTGAATTTTCTCGTGTGTTTCTCAGCTGTTCAGCAGCCGAGCCCCACTTTGGAACTCAGGAGCATTTGGGAGCTCCCAGAGTTGCCTATAAGAGGCTTATAGGGGAGTTTCGGAAGAAAGCCTAATAGGTATAAAGATACAAACATATATATTATATAGTTCTATATTAAAGAAATATCTATATATTATTCCTGTATTCTGCATCTGTACAAAGTATGATCTCAACAGCCCAGGTAGCGTGAGACACGTAATGCATGAATGTAAATACCCCGAACTCCGCCTTCTTAGCGATGTGCCGTGTGTGTGGGGACGACGTCTCTTGTTCCTAGGCATTCTGTCTTGATGGACAGATACACCTGTCTGTGCCATCTTGTCCACCAATGAGCCATTCATGTCGATTTCGTGCTGAGACTTCTGTACAGAAGGCGGGACTGGCAGCCCTGGGGGCACACTATATGCTCCTTATGAGGAAAGCAGCACCATGACTTTTTTATTTTCAATAAAAATATGCTTAAAAGATGGCTGTCCATTATCATTTGAAGTAGGCACTTGGCCCTGACTGAGGGATGGGAAGGGGACGGAAGGTAGGGAGAGGATCATCCGTGATGGTCCTGTCTGGGCAGGGCTGTGGATTTCACCTGCATTATCTCTCACCCGAGGTTGGGATTTATAGAGATTTCAAAGGCCTGTCCTGTCCTTCACCCCTCCTCTCCACTACCACCATGATCTTGGACCAAATGAGAACAGGCTGACCAACTTTCCCAGTGTGCCTAGGCCTGACAGGTTCTCCTGAACCCAGGACACTCAGGGGTAAAAAAGGAAAAGTCCCAGGCAACTGGAAGAAGCCAGTCACCCTAGTCTGACAAATATGGGAATCGTAGAGAGCAAGAATCAGCTGGCCATGTTGGTGGGGCAAATGGAGATGGTCTGTGTCATTCTCTTCCTATGTCCATCTCTGTCTAGAAGTCCCCTTCCTAGCATCGTGGTCTGCCCTGCATAGGCAAGCAAGAGACACCAGGAACACAGGGCTCACCTGCCCCTGGAGCAGGTGGAGCAGGAGCCACTGTGGGAGCCCATTTGCCTCTTCCAGCCTCACTTGGAAGAGGAGATAAGCCTCACTCTCAGGTGAGTCTCACCAAAGCACTTCCGGGGGCAGCAGGTCCTCTTGAATGGGCTGGGAGGGACGTAGGGAGGGAAAGCAGATGCTTCACTGCACTGGACACCCATCTTTAGGCAGGGAACAGATTAGAGAGATGGGTGCTATGACTCAGGTTATGCAGAGACCAGCAGACAGGACTGGGGCTGGGTTTGGAAACTGGACCTTCAGCAATGGCTTCTGGTCATGACTGAAGGGACCCCCAAGCCAGACTGCCTCCCCACAGTGGGGGTATAGCTAACCCCACCATCCCTACCTGGGTTTCCCACAACTCCAGCATAGACACTGTGACAGCTGACTGTGAAGGTCCTGCCCAGAGCAGGGGCTGAGTGTTTCCCCAACCTGTCCCAAGTCTCACAGCTTGGCAGAGGTGGGGAGGATCAGGTCAGGGCAGGCGCTCGGACAAGGGCCTGTGTCCCAGGCTTCAGAGAAATGAGGGGACCAATGCATCCTTCTCAGTGGTGTCCCCATCAACACCTGTGACTCTGTGGGCTGTGCACCTGGGAGGGGTAGAAGGAGAACACTACACACATACCTGGAGCCATTGGCACAGACCAGACCTCTCCTCGGTGACACTTTTGTTTCTCCACCTCTCTCTGGGGACTCTGGCCACTTGCTCTAGCTCCAGACAACCAACACAGCACATTGCTCCATCGCCTGACAGCCCATGTCCCACCTCGGGATTCTGCTTTGTGGTCCTGCGGCCACCAGCAAGGGTGAATGGCAATGGGACACACAGGGCTCCCTGCCTGGCACCCTGGAGGAGCTGTGCAGCCGCAGCACTGCCCTCCTTCTTCCCCTCCCAGATGCCACACCGTATGTGCCCTTGGCCTGCACTGTAGCACCAAAGACAGCCCTGTTGTGTCCTGTGATAGTCCAGGCACTGGGACCCCACCCCACCCAGCTATAGCCCCCCCACTGGATCACCCGTGCCTGCCTCCACTGCTCCCACTCAGTGCTGGGTGCCTTCCTGCTCCCCTGCCTCTGCTAAACTCAATTCTCAGGAAGAACCTGAGAAATGCCACTACCTGTGGAAGGTGCCCGGTCTCCATCTGTGCACAAACAGCACCCCAGGCTCCAGGCACCACCACCTGGCAGGTCCTGGGCTGCCAAGCCCTTCTCTGTCCTCCTCTGTGCTGGTGGAATAGCCCACTCCAAGTTCCATCCTCTCCTGAACAGGTGTCTCTGGGCTCCTGGCTTCCGTCCACCATGATTTGTTCATTGAGTCAAATATGAAATATGAAAACCTGCTGCCTTCCAGACATCATGCAGAGCACAAGGCTCAGCTTCCCCCTCAAGGTCTCCTGTGGAAACCTCAGAGATTCCGGCTTCTCCAATCTGGTGGGTCCTGGCTTGGCCTCCAAAGCGCTTTGCAATCCCACCTCCACTCCCACTTCTTTCCCACCAATCCCCTTCCACTTCCAGCCCCTCTCCCCACCTGCCCCAAGCTTTCCCCGGCTCCACTTGCCAATCTGGTCCACCTGAGTTCCCTCCAGCCCACTCACTGGCTGCTATGGACCCATCCTTGGCTGCCCAGGCCAAGGATGCCACCCTCCCTAGCTCCTTTCCTCACTGCTGCCCCAGCCCCTGCCGACCAGCCAGCTTGCCTCCTTTCCCTCTCCTCTCTGCAGCTTGCTTCTCCCTGCTGTCTCTGCATGGCCACATCTATCATCAGATCCCTGTCGGGCTGCCTCCTCCCTGAGCACACAGAATACATACACACCCGTCCGTGCACAGAGCTGAGTGACACCCCTTCCCCAGGCAGCAGACAGCCCTGCAGGAGTAGTGCTCCCTTTTTGCCCTCTCCTGTAGCATTTCCTGTTGCAGTATCTTCTGCTGTTGGCCAGAGATCCTTTTGCCACCTCTACCTTAGGTGTCCATTGGGGACCCAGACAGTGCCCTAGGGATGCAGAGGGAAACAGGAGCAGATTGGGGGTGGCAGTGGATCTGTACTGTGCACAGAGAGGGTGACAGCAATGTGGAGATGAAGGACATCCAGGGCCAGCTTTAGTTTTTTCTTTTTTTTTTTTTTTTGCGAGGGGTACTGGGGATCAAACTCAGTACCTTGTGCTTACCAGGCAGGCGTGGTGCCACTGAGCTACATCCCTCGCCCTTTACTTACTTTTTGATCACTCTCCAGAGCCTAGGAGGCAGGAGGACACCACCTATTTTACGGAGTGAGTAGACCAGGCTCTGAAGATGTTCAGGGGCTACCAAAGGGCAGAGAAGTCATAAGTGGCAGAGCTATGGCTCAGTCCTAGCTGTGTGGCTACAAGTTCCCAGTTCTCCCAACTCAGACAGGAGCTCAGAGTTCAAAATCCACTCCAGCCAGATCTCTACCCAGTTATCTTCCCAGCCCCTGGGAAGCAGACAGGAAATGCAGGCTTCCTGGCCCCTGGGAGCTACATCAGGGGTTCCTAGATCTAAGACAGTTGACTTAATATGTGACTTCTAGCGAGGCTCTGCCCCTCTCGGAGCCTCGGTTTCCTCATCTGTAAGATGGGGGCAGGGACCAACCTCAGCTGTCTTCTTCCCCCACCAACACCTTGTGGCCCTCTCTGACCATCCCTAGGCATTGCTATAACATCACCTTGGTTTCTCCTCAACACAGCACTTCTCACCACTAAGAGTGATTATTTTTTTGTGTGCATGCTTGCTGCCCTCCTGTTCCTGTTAAAATGCAAGGTGCATGGGAACAGAGGCCTTCCCCAGGTCTTAGTCTCTTTCATCACCAGATCTCCAAACACACCTGGCATGGGAAATATTTTTTGAATTAATTACAAATTTCATATAATAAGGAATGTAATGTTTTATTTTATATAACTGTTAGGAGTCTCCACCTCCTTGGGTATGTGCACTGGGTACGGCTGGGGTGGGCAGGAAAAAAACTGAAATTTGCAAGTTGATGGTGTCTTTTCTCTTGTCATTTCATTGGTGTCTTTCAATGACTCTGTTTCCAGTGGACAGATGCTCTGTCTTCTGGGTGTCTTCCCTGGACCTGCCATCCTCTAGGAAGCACCTGTTTGTAGTGTCTGATGCAGGGGAGCTGGTCTCAGACACATGGTTCTTTGGGATCTGCGGAGGTCTCTGCTGCAGAAGGTTTGGCTTGGGCTGTTTCCCAGATGGGTGAATGTAAGCTATGCCTGTGCCCTTCTGGCCTTTTAGTGTCGCTGGCTAACCCCCACTGCTCCCATTTCAAATGTCCAGCTGTGGTAGCCTTGTCCTCCTGACTGTGGCCTCTGCCCAGTTTCCTGTTCTCTCAGCATGAGACCCTTGGCAACTTGGAGGCTCTGCACATGGCTGTGGACATTCTGGAGGTTTACGTGGCAGCATCTTCCAGGGCTCCCAGGTACATTTCCACGCGGACACTTGCACAACGTCCTCAAGGGAGAAGGTTTAGACATGGCCACCTGGCCTCCCAGCCCTCCCCTACACTCCTCCCTTTTCCTTTTGCCAACAATCCACCAGCGTCCAGAAGAAGTGGGCTTTCTGCTCCCTCCTCCTGTTTGACCCCTTTGACCACAATCTTCCCAGCCTCCTCCTCCACGCGCTGTCCATGGAACAGACTAGGGCACACGATCTCCTGGAGAAGAATAAAAAACATAACTGTTGATTATTTTCAGAATATTATCCCCATCACAGATACAACGATGTGCTTACACCACATGAAGTCCAAATGCTGACAGAACGTGCCATATGGAGGAGGATTTCCCAGTTGCTCATTCAGGCTCAGAAGCATGGAATCAGCCTTTAGTCACCACGAAACACAGCAGCGTGGGAACACCACCCTGAAAAGAACAGGAGCCAAATGCCCATGGCAAGCTGTGATTTCATTTCAGCAAAACACCAGCTGTCACATGGCACTACAGTTTGAGCTAAATGGCCGCTTGGATACAGGGCACTACGGCAGAGCCAGGCACACAGGGCAGGAAGAGCTCCAAGAAGGCTCACCCTGATCATATAGGCGCCAAGTCCCTATTGGGGCATTCCATCCTGTGCTCTTTATAGGACAGGAAAATGTCACCTCCACCTTGGAGATGGTGAAACTGAGGGTCAGTGAGATTAAGCAACTTGCCCGTGATTAGACAGCAGGGCTGCTCCCAAGTCCAGAACCCCACTCCTGTAGACCTGGTTGCAAAGCCTGTCTGTGTGCTCTCTCTGCCCACATCCTGCTGTCTCCCCTCTATACCCTGCTCCTCACTGGGCAGTGTGGTTGTCCTCACCTGGAGAGTGCTTCTGTACTTCATGCTTGATTAGTCACTGATTTCTTTCTTTTCTAAGTGGCCACTTCAAGGAGCAGAAATCAGGGTGTCTGCCAGGAAGCCCTGGGAGGCTCCCTTCTCCACT